GAATGGCTTCTTCATGGCTGCTTTCAGTATTCTTTCCTTGACCTGGAAGCTCTGAAATTCAGTTATAATATTCCCTGAAGTTTTCATTTTGGTATCTCTTACAGGAGGTGATCAGTGAATTCTTTCAATTTCTATTTTGCCCTCTGGTTCTAAGATATCAGGGCAATTTTTCTTTATAATTTCTTGAAATATTATGTGTAGGCTCTTTTTTTACTCATGGCTTTCAAGTAGTACAATAATTCTTAAATTATCTCTCCTTGATATATTTTCTAGATCACTTGCTCTTCTTGTGAGATAGTTCACATTTTCTTTGATTTTTTTCATTCTTTTGACTTTTATTGTTTCTTACTATCTCATTAGCTTCCACTTGCCCAATTCTAATTTTTAAGAAATTATTTTCTTTACTAGTTTTTCCCCCTCTTTTTCCATTTGTCTAATTCTGCTTTTTGAGGCATTATTTTCATCAGTGAAGATGTTAATTCTCATTTCATAATTTTCTTGCATTGCTCTCATTTCTTTTCTTATTTTTCTTTTAGTACTCTCATTTGGTTTTAAAAATTCATGTCTTAGCTCTTCTAGGAATTCTTTTAGGGCTTATGTTCAACTTGCATTTTTCTTTGAAGCTTTTTTTGGTATCTATGTTCATGTCATTGTCTTTTTCTGAGTTTGTGTCTTGATCTTCTCTGTCACCATAGTAGATTTTCTGGTCAGGGCTTTTGTTGTTCTTGCTGTTTGCTTATTTTCCCATCCTATTTCTTGACTCTTTTTTGGAGGGGAATGTTAGGAGATCTGGGCTATAGAGCCTCCTTTACTCTGCCATCTTGGCTCTGACTCTTTCACATTTTTATAATTAAAAAAAAAAGGTCAGTGGCTAGGTGCAGATTGAAGGTATAGGATGGGTTGGAAGTAGCTGGTGGAACAAGATCTTGAAGAGGGTTGGAGGGGATGAAATCAAGATCGCAAATAAGGAGTTATTTTTGGAAAGGAAAAGAAACACATCCTTAAAGAGAAGCTGGTTGGAGACAAAAAAAATTTGGGGAATGGAGAGGAAGTAACATGGGGCTGTGGTGGCAGCTTGCTTTGTTTTTTTCAGTGAAACTAAGAGGGTTTCATTTCATGGGGGTGAAGGAGGCAGTCATGAGGTCTTTCCAGATTTCTTTGCATTGGAAGGAAACCTTTATAAGACCCTGTTACTTACTGCAAAATAATGGGAAACCATATTGTTTACCAGAGCTGCCTTTTGTTGACTTTAAATTAGAATTTTTCCACATCCTCTGGATTTCTCCAATAGCCAGATCCTTTGAATTTCCCTCCAAGATGACAAGCACCTTGTGATCACATCATTTTCTTTGGAGAGAAGAGTGCTGACAAAGCTATTACCCTCTGTCCTAAATGTGGAAATCTTTGCCAGGGACATGGGGATTGTCACCTGGGAGCTATCTCAAATTCCTGGCCCCAAAGATGAGCTAGACAGTACTGTCTTATATTTACAGACTAATATTCCTGGTGGCCAGAAATAAGTTGTCTCTCTGGAATTAAAGTTCAGAGTAAAATCTCTTTAGTATTTAGGTAGTGGAGCTAAGGATATAAAGTGCACCTTGTTTGTGTAATCATTGTGCAACTATGGGTAAATCACATAATCTGTTTGAGCTTCAGTTTCCTCATCTATAATATGGGAATAACAATATTTGTACCTCCTACCTCAAGGGCAGCTAAGTATCACAGTAGATAGAGTGCTGGACCTGGAATCAGGAAAATTCATCTTCCTGAGTTCAAATCCTGCTTCAGACAGTTACTAGCTGTGTGACCCTGGGCAAGTCACTTAACCCTGTTTACCTCAGTTTCTCATCTGTAAAATGAGTCAGAGAAGAAAATGACAAATGACTCCAGTATCTTTGCAAAGAAAACCTCAAATGTAGTTACAAAGAGTTGGACACAACTGAAAAACGACTTAAGAACAACAAAAACCTCTTACCTCAGAGGACTGTTACAAGGAAAGACCTTGGTAAACCTTAATGCACAACGTAAAGTACTTTAATCTTCCCTTAAAAACACATGTAAATTAAATTTTATGTTAGGTGCAGTAGGAGAGTGCTGTATTTAAAGGTGTTCCCTCTGGTCATATAACATATGGAGTATTGCGTTCAGTTTATGGTATATTTTTATAGGAGTTATTTTCAAACTGGAGCAATTTCAGAGGGGGAGGCAAACAGGATGATGAAGAATCTTTAATCAATGTCACATGAGGAACAGTTGAAATAGCTGAGGATTTTTGGACTGGAGAAGTTTAAGAGTACACATTAGGGAAAACGTGATATCTTCAAATATTTGAACAGCTATAATGTGAAGGAGGTAGTAGACTTATTCTGTATTGTAGGCTTAGGATCAATGGATGAAAATTACAGGAGGTAGATTTTGGCTTAGTATAAGGAAGAACTTTATATTGAACAGTGGAATAGGTTGTATAACAAGATAGTAGAGAATGACTATTTGTCAGGGATGTTGTAGAAGCCACTGTTGTATTGGGTGGGCAGGTGAATTAGATGTTCCCTAAAGCTTTTTTCCAACTCTTTAGATGCTATGATTCCATTTATTTTATAATGAATTCTTTTTTTTTGGACTTCCTCTTCTGGGAGCCAAGATGGCGGAGTAAAAAGGTAGTCACTCTCACCCTCCCCTATCAATCTCTGAAAACCCAGAAAATATCACCCCAGAAAAAGCCCTGGAACAGCTGAACCAGAAGAAAGACAGGGAACAGCAGAGCAATAGCCCAGCCTCACTTTAGACAGCAGAGGGAGGGGGGGGGTGAGCATTGTTTGAACCTTACTCTCATCAGATTTGGCTCAAGAAGGGAATAACATGATCAGTTAGGTATAGAAATCTAACTTGCCCTATAGGGAGTAGGAGGGAAAAGGGGAAAGAAAAGGGAGAGGCGATAAAAGGGAGGGAAGAAGCAGTAAGGGTAAAGAGGAAGAAAAAGGAAAGGGCTAATAGAAGGGAGGAGGGACTGAAGGAGGTGGTGGTCAAAAGCAAAACACTAGTGAGGGGGAGGAAGGAGAAAGGAGAAATAAAAGCATAAACTGGGGGGAAAAGGATGAAGAAAAAGACACAGGCAGTAATCATAACTGTGAATGTGAATGGAATGAACTCTCCCATAAAATGGAAACGGATAGCAGAACAGATTAAAAACCATAATCCTACAATATATTGTTTACAGGAAACACATCTGAAAAAGAGTGACACATACAGGGTAAAGGTAAAAGGCTGGAGCAGAATATATTATGCTTCAGCTGAAGTAAAAAAAGCAGGGGTAGCAATCTTGATCTCAGACAAAGCAATAGCAAAAATAGATCTTATCAAAAGAGATAAGGAAGGAAACTACATCCTGCTAAAGGCACCATAGACAATGAAGAAATATCATTACTAAACATATATGCACCAAATGTTATAGCATCCAAATTCTTAGAGGAGAAGTTCAGGGAGTTACAGGAAGAAATAGACAGCAAAACTATACTAGTGGGGGACCTCAACCTCCCCCTCTCTGAACTAGATAAATCTAACCACAAAATAAACGAGAAAGAAGTTAAGGAGGTGAGTAGAACATTCGAAAAGTTAGGTATGATAGACCTCTGGAGAAAACTGAATGGGGATAGAAAGGAATATACTTTTTTCTCGGTGGTACATGGCACATACACAAAAATTAACCATGTACCAGGGCATAAAACCTCACAATCCAATGCAGAAAGGCATAAATATTAAATGCATCCTTTTCAGATCATGATGCAATAAAAATTATGTGTAATAAAGGGCCATGGAAAAATAGACTAAAAATTAATTGTAAACTAAATAATCTAATCCTAAAAAATGATTGGGTCAAACAACAAATCATATAAACAATAATTTCATTCAAGAGAATGACAATAATGAGACAATATACCAACACTTATGGGATGCAGTGAAAGCAGTTCTTAGGGGAACGTTTTTTATCTCTAAATGCTTACATAAATAAAATAGAAAAAGAAGAGATCAATGAATTGGGCATATGACTAAAAAAACTAGAAAAAGAACAAATTAAAAATCCTCAATTAAACACCAAATTAGAAATATTGAAAACCAAAGGAGACATTAATAAAATTTAAATTAAGAAAACTATTAAACTAATAAATAAAACTAAGAGCTGGTTTTATGAAAAAAACCAATAAAATAGATAAACCTTTGATTAATTTATTAAAAAAAGAAAGAAGAAAACCAAATTACTAGTATCAAGAATGAAAAGGGTGAAGCTACCACCAAGGAAGAGGAAATTAAAACAATAATTAGGAATTATTTTGCCCAACTATATGACAATCTTAATGAAATGGATGCATATTTATAAAAATATAAATTGCCCAGATTAATAGAAGAGGAAGTAAGATACTTAAATAACCCCATCTCAGAAAAAGGAATTGAACAAGCCGTTGATGAACTCCCTAGGAAAAAATCTCCAGGGCCAGATGGATTTACATGCGAATTCTATCAAACATTTAAAGAGCAATTAATTCCAATACTATACAGACTATTTGGGAAAATAGGTGAAGAAGGAGTCTTACCAAATTCTTTTTATGATACAAATATGGTGCTGATACCTAAACCAGGAAGAGTCAAAACAGAGGAAGAAAAAAAAAGAATTCTTTTTTTGTTTTATTTTTTGGCTAGGCAGTGGGGTTAAGTGACTTGCCCAGGGTCACACAGCTAGTGAATGTTATGTGTCTGATGTCGGATTTGAGCTCAGCTCCTCCTGACTACAGGGCTCATGCTCTATCCGCTGTGCCACCTAGCTGCCCCATAATGACTTCTTTTGTAAAATAAAATGAAACTTCATAAAAATCCAATAATCACTCATTAGTATATATATATATATATATATATATAATTATTATATATATACATATTATATATACATGCATATATATAATTTGTAAATATAGATTTTTCACATAGTGTTTTGTTTTTTCCAACAGGGTATAACTGTGTCAGCATACCAAGGAAGATGAAGGTATGCTATTAAATCTGAGTGAAACTAATTTAATTTTTTAAAAAAAGTACACAAAATCCTTTGTCTGTTCGGAAATTATTTTGGGAAATTAGTATTAAGAGCTTGCATTTGAATAGCCAAGAGAAGAGAAGATTTAAGGAAGATAATATATCGTCATTATTGTTTTAAAATATCTGTCATATGGAACAATTCTGTGAGGTTAATAGGGCCAAGTATCATTATAACTATTTCACAGAGGAAGAAACTGACATGCAGAGAAGTGATTTGCCTAGGGCCACAAAACTATCTGGTGCCACAGCTAGGGCTAGGACTTCTGTCTCCTGACTCAATATCTTCTTCACCATACCTACAACATTGCAATGCATTGGTCAGAAGATGCAGTGAACGTTGTAGCCTGGTTTTGGTTCTTCCATAATTAGCATGTGGACCAGCTTCTTGATATCTGTAATAGGTTGTATTTCATGCTACCTTTTTCAATGCTATGAAATAGAGGTGACAGGACCACTAAGCTCTTTGATATGTGATGTATTGGGGACATGTGGTATGACATGTATTAAGAGCACTGTGCCTAAAAGAGTTTGGGAGCTCCTTAAGGGAAGATGCTAAACCAACACAGTGACAATGATGCGTAGCTCCAAAGGCATCTTGGGGTCCATGGCACAAGCTTGGAATGAAGTCCTTCTGGTGCTGCCTGTAGTAAAGCACTCAGTGATTGAGGCAGACACCTTGGATCAAACTGCCGAGGTGGGGAGAACTAGAGTGAGGCTTGAATATCATACAACCAGTGAAAAACTCATCTCCTGTCCAAGCTCAGCAGTGTGACAGGCTGCCAAATGAAAGAACTCCATTTCCTTCATGGGGGGAAACCTTCTAGTGCCTGATGAGGTCCCCGTGGTTACATTAATGCTCCATCTGCTCAAGCAGAGAGCTCCTCTGGCAGGATTCGTTTCCCTTAGGTTGAACACCTTTCTCCCACTTGGCAACCAACCCTGTAGTTTCTGAAACAAATCTGTGCACAGGCATGCTAAAGTAGAAGGTTTTCTGGACAACCCATCCATCAGGACCTCAGGTCTGGGCCAGACAAATGAAGTTGACACATGGCCTTGGGGATGGGGTGTGGGGAGGGAGCAGATGGGCAAAAAGGGATGCTGCCAGAAGGAAACACCTGCCTGAGATTGCAGCTGTGGGATTCCCTACAGTCTGATTTTCAGCCAGAAATGGTGTCAGACATGATGATTAGGCACGCCCATAGACAAAGATGGCTTGTTAAAGAAAATCTGAATGTGGACTTTTTTTCTTGAGTCCATATTAGTTATTTGGTCACCAGTCTACTCATTCCCGGTCCTCTAAGGCCCATCTAGAGTCCCACATCCTCTTGATAGTTGTCCTTGTCCCCTTCAACACTTGTCCTTAGACCTAGCAAGAGGGCTATTAATAGGGATAGATGACCTTAGTGGTCATCTAGTCCAACTCTCTTATTTTACATATGAAGAAATCAAAGCCTGAAGACATTAAATGACTTGCCCAAGGTCACACATGCATTAAGTGGAAGAGCTAGGATTCAGACTCCATTCCTGTGACTCTAAGTTCATTGTTGTTTCCATGACCTCATGCTACCTTGGTGATTGATTCCAAAAGCTATTGCCTGATTTCCCTAGTCCTTTCATGCTTTGGCATCATGGAGGGTGTGTTACTAAAACTATATACTCATAACCATTACGTAGTAAGGGCTTAATAAGTTTGATTGTTAAGTATTAGTAAATTTTTTTTTTGTTTTTGTCTTTTAGATGGGGAGGGGTAAAGCTGAGATGGCCTCTTGAAGATTCTTCCATCTGATGGGTAGGTGGAGTAGTAGGTCTGATGATCAAGTGTCTGCAAGATATAATAGAGTGGGATAAGGTGAGGTAGGGTTGGGGGGTGAAGATAGTCGAGATACTGCCAGCTCAGGGAATGACCACACCAAATCCACAAGTAACCAGCTATTGCTATTTATCCTGTTTGGGGCTCCAGATGTACCATAAGTGGGCAGAATGAAATAATTTGGGGCAGTTTCTGGCCTAGAGGAAGCAGCAACCTGAGAGGTCATGAAGCACCAACTACTGTGTGGCCAAGGACATGTCTCTACCACTTTTCCCCTCAAGTCAGTTAACAGAACTATTATTAGGCTGAAGTAGAATAAATCTGAAAAATTAATTAAACTACTCATGTTTGTTTCTGCTGTAATATGAAATAAAGAAAAACATTAAGTTCAAAGACAGAGGCTCTGTCTTTGAATTGCTTCTTTTGCGCTTTTGGTGACTGAAGAGCAAAGGAAAGCACCTTCCTAAGGGGAGCTGGCCTAGACTTACAGGAAGTGGGTGTCATTGGGTGTTAGAGCCTTTCCTAGGGCACTGAGAGTGTCTTGTGCTGGGACATACAGCCAATATGGTCAGAGACAGGACTTGAATCCATGTCTTCCTGACTCCAAAGCCTATTCTCTATCTATTTCTCCACATTGCCTCTTGGATCTCTGTATTATATTGCACTAGAAAGTCCTACATTGGTCCATTCATACTAAGGAAAAGAAGAGATAGAAGGAGGGAGGTTTCTGTCCCTGCGTTCAGCTGCTGAAGAAAGTGGCTGACATATTCTGCCCTGGCCATGGATGATGTGTAAATGAACAGTTGGCTGAGTCTAAGAAAGATTGCCAGCCATATAGAGATGTCAGAGAGCCTTCCACTCCAGTTTGGAGTCCATGACCTCTATGCGGGACAGAATCTGAACTCTCCATGAACACACTCTAAGGTCTTGGGCAAGTCACTTTTCTTTTCTTTCCTAGGCGTCAATTTTAAACAAAAAAGTTTGGAGTTGGTATCTTCCAGCCTGAAATATTTGTGCCTGTGTTATTCTGTTTTTGTTTTTGCACATATTTTCCTTGCAAACCTGCTGCTGGAGGTCAATAAAACACTAATCATAGGACTTAGAACATTTCTTCAAAACTGGGGCTTTACAGCATAAAAGCCTTTCATCTCAAAAGTATTTCCAAGATGTGTAATGTGCAATAAAGTCAAACATTCAGGTGACACAAGGTATTATAAATTGCCCCTTAAGTGTTTTTTCTTTTAGTTTTTCTTTTAGTTTTAGTTTTTTTAGTTCTTTTTTAGTTTTTTTTAGTTCTTTTAGTTTTTTAATCTTAGTCTCTTGAATAGTGTTCATTTTATTTTATTTGAAAAACCTCTGTGGGATGTCTTCTTAGTGAAAGACATCAGGCAACTAGAGTAGATTTCATGTATAGACAGCATAGGTGGTGTCCTAGGTGGTATCATTTGAAGCATTATATCTGGAAGACTCCATGCCCAAGAATATGTCCTTTACTGTCCTGCTATTGTGCCTAAAATCTACTATTAGAGATGCATTTCTTTGCATTAAGACATTATGCCCTTTCAAAATGTAAACATTCCTAGGAATGGTAACATATTAAGCAAGTATTAACCATTAACACCTGAATACAAATTACTTTATTAGATTAACCTAGCAAAGTGAAGAGTGAATGGGAGGCTAGATAGGTAGAGAGAAAGATTAGGGAAGATGGGACCCTGTCAGGAAAGGTAGATGTTGGTGAGGAGCCATGGTAGGGGATTTTGGGGAATCAAGGGCAAATGAAGGAACTAAGGAGTGAAAGGACACTCAAAACAAATGCTCTATTTCAAAAACATGGAAAAATATGGCCTTTCTTACATTGGATACCATGGTTACTTGCTGAATCATATCTGTTCATGTATAATTGCTCCCAAGCATTGTTAGTCACCTTGGGAATACTCTATTCACTCTTGTTTTTTTTTTTCTATTATTACATTTAGTGCCATAAAAAAGACTTAGATTATATATGTGCGTGTGTGTGTATTTCAATTAAATACATATTTATTAGGTACCCATTGTATGCATGGCATTTTAATATGGCATGTTAAAATAATAGTTAACATTTATGTACTTTTTGACCCTCATGACTTGATGGCCCAGTGTACAATTTGGGGTATCTCTCACAAAAACTCTTTGATGCAAGCTTCCATCTTGGAAGCATCTGCCTTTGACATGTATCTTATGAAAAATTGCTGGCTGCCTTTTCTCTCCAAAAATGGGCACTCCCTTGTAATCGTTTAGTCAACTGAGACAGTGAGCAGAAGTGCAGGCTTTATTTAGCTTGATACCACCACTGCCATCAACAAACCCATCTAATACACAGCCCATAGACAGTGGGAAAAAGCTTCTTTCCATTTGCACAGGGAATGTACAATCCTTCTGACTTATAATACTACCCTTTGTAGCTCAGCATTGCTAGGGAGTCGATCAACAATCTACTCCTGGTGGGTCCTACTTTCACCATGGGAAACAAAGTCAGAATGCGATTGTGAGAGTCAACCTTCCCTAAAGATTTACATAGTCCACATAGTTCACAGTCTTGTTGTTATTCAGTCATGTCTGACTCTTTGACACCCCATTTGGGGTTCTCCTGGCAAAGTTACTGGAGTGGTTTGCTGTTTCCTTCAACTCATTTTAAAGATGAGGAAACTGAGGCAAACAGGGTTAAGTAACCTGCCAACTGTCACACAACTATATCGGAGGCCATATTTGAACTCAAAAAGATGAGTCTTTCTGAGTCCAAGCCCAGTGTTGTATCTGCTGTGCCAGATAACAGCCCTAAGCTCATAGTACTAGCCAAGAAAAAGTTTCAGGTCTGCTCTTCCACATTGAATCTCTGTTTTTATTGCTCTTCAGTGTACATTGTTCCCTCAATGCACCTCTCTCTCTCTCTCTCTCTCTCTCTCTCTCTCTCTCTCTCTCTCTCTCTCTCTCTCTCTCTCTCTCTCTCTCTTTCTCTCCCTCTCCCTTTATCTTGTAATGCATGTACTGAAATTTTTGTTATACCCATTTTACAGATGTAGAAATAGAGGCTTGAGGGGCAGCTAGGTGGCACAGTAGATAGAGCTCTAGCCTTTCAGTCAGGAATACCTGAGTTCAAATCTGACTTCAAACACTTGACACTAGCTGTGTGACCCCAACTGCCTCACCAAAACAAAAACAAAAACAAAAAAACTGAAACAAACAAAAAACAAAACCAAAAACAGAGGCTTAACAAGGTTAAGAAATCTGGCCAAAAACATAAAGCTAGTTAGTGGCAGAGCTGGGACTCAAACCCATATCTTTTGACTCCAGGTCCATTTACTGTTAAATTTGGGTTGGAGTGCTGGACCTACAATCAGGAAGCTCTAATTTCAAATCCAGCCTCAGACATTACTAGCTGTATGACTCTGGGCAGGTCATTTAACCTCTGTCTGCTTCAGTTTACTCACCTGCAAAATGGAGATAATAGCAACACCTACCTGGGGTTGTTTTGAGGATCAAATGAGATATTTGTAAAATACTTTGCAAACCAGCAAGCAGTATATAAATAATAATATTATTTTTTTTTAATGGAGGTAACCTTGGGCAGTTGAAGGCTATGTCTACGGAACACAAACTCTAGTAGATTTTATCAAGTTTGAAAGTCCTTGGGCAGAAGTCTAGGAAATGGTGATGTCTTGTGTTGGGTTTAGCCTAGTTAAATTGAGAGACACTCATGAGCTATTAAGTGAGGAAGTGATTGACTTTGGCAACTCATTACACCAGTTATTAAGTTGGGGAGTCTGCATCGATGGGGTATGGGGAGGGTGACCTCAACAATGAAACGAACCAGATTCTTGAAGTTTCAGTGCCGGCACGATTTAGATCAGATTTCTTGTGTTGTGAACCCCTTTGGCTGTCCAATGAAGCCTAGCATGAATTGTGTTTTTAAATGCATAAAATAAAAACACATACAATTCCAGAGGAAACCCATTATTTTGAAATATAGTTCAAAAACAAGTTCATGGAGCCCAGATTAAGAACTCCTGATATAGACCATGGATGTGCACTGTGGTCTCTGTACTGTACGAGTTTCTAAGTGTACTTGGGACTGCAATAATCTATGTTTGATTTCATTCTTGTTATATAATTTTTCTTTTAAAATAGAAGCAAATTAAAATGAATTCTCCTTTGGAAAAGATGTTGGAAAATTTCCCAATACCTCTTGACATCAGTAGAAGCAGCCTTGGGTATTGCAAAACCCAAGGTGGTAATTACTACTGCAAAGTGTGCCATAAACCTTCAGCTAAAATGCTTGACTGAGTTCCCTCAGAATTGGAGAATCAAAATAAAATAGCCACTCATTCAGAAGAACCATGTAACCTAACAACTTCCTGGCCAGGCTATCCCCTAGTTAAACAGTTTTGGAAGCAGCCATCTCTTTCTTATGGTCACCAGGGAATCAATCCAGTAAGTACTGGATTCTATTCCTTGTATTAACATCTGCCTGAAGCAAACTCACTCAGAACTCCTCCACTGACCCAGATTTCCTCTGAAAGTCAAACAAGAAGAATACAGAAAATTGTAGTATAAAAAATTTTTCGTGAAGTCCATTGCCTAATTTTTCAGGAGGCCTGTTCCTGTCTTTTGGGCCCTAGGTGCATGGACCACTGAGCTAGCAGATAAATAAAATCCAGTACGATTCTTTGACTTCAAAGTCAATCTCTTCCATGTGTGGAAAAGATAGGGTAGGGTGTGGGAAAGGGATGGGAATTGGGGAAAGAGAATAATTTTTTTTTGCTGGCAATGGGGAGACTATATGACCTAATGGATTTTTTTTCCATTCCTAACTTCAGGGATTCCATGATTAATTCAGACATCTGGTTTACCTCTCCAGTGAGATACCATTTTATTAACTACCGTGTAGGAAACTGTCTTGTTATCCCAGACAGAGAAATAGTTACTCCCTGCTTCCTCAAAATATGTAATTCAGCCAAGCTAATAACTTTCCATAATCTTTTCTAACTGGCCTAATTCTGACTTCTTTGGAAAGAAACCCAATAAGGACCTGTCAAAAAAGACCTGAAAAATGGTGTGTGTGTTTTAAACAAGAACAGAAATTTATGTGGAAAACTCTTCTTGTAGATACTAGAAATTTCTGGGCGCACAACCAAGCTCGTATTCATGCTTGTAAACAGTATTGTTTTACTGTTACTGATATAGCAAACAAGCACTTTCATGTTTGCCGAAGGCTATGTATCATGTGTCTGCTTTTGGGACAGCTTGTTCTGATAGGTCTGAGGATCACT